GTATTTCTAACTCTATCCAAATCTGCACTTTTTTACCTCGCCACAGTGAAATTCTCTCCTTCAAACACCTTAAAGCTAATCATGATTTTCTCCACAAATCTGCAATTCACGCTTTCCCTCGTCTTTGGGAAGACCTTCCTAATGATCTTAAGAATTCTCTCGTCCTTGATTCCCTTCCCATATTCATTTCTAGACTCAAATCACACTTGTATACACAACATCCCTCATCTGAATAAAAATGATCTCATAACTGTAATAATCTTGTTGCTATGGTGGTTATTGTAATTGCAACTACTATAAAAACAATAACAACAACAATAATCGTAATAATTATAATAATGATAATAATAATAATAATGATAATAATAATGATAACTATTATAATTAATAATATGATAATGATGATAATTATTATTTTTGTTATGATTGTTATAATGAAGATAATGTTAATTGTAGTTATAATGGTACATAATGGTGATAATAATAATAATAATAATAATAATAATAATAATTATAATTATAATTATAAATATTAAATAATAAAATAATAATGGGAATTTTGCTGTAATGATGGTAATAATAACAATAGGTTTTGTAGAATAATTATAATTATTATTGTTATTACTGTACTTAAATGGTGATTGTGATGACCTTGTTTTTTGCTTTTAATGACTGTTCTTGCATTTATTCTGTTTTTTGTTTTGTTTTTTGTTTATTTATTTATTCTTTATTTTATGTTTTGCTTGCTTTTTGCTTGATGCTGTGATGTGTTTATTATATTTTATCTTACATTTTAATGATGTGTTTTTTTTATACTGGATGGGAGTGGTTCTCAAACAATTGTTATAGTAATTAAGTTTACTTTAGAGACCAGGCCCTCCCATCAAGATTATTCTATTGTGCAATAAAAGAATAAGAATAAGAATAAAACATATCTTAATTTTAAAATTTCTGGCAGAGAAAGTCATATCAGTCAGCTATGAAATTATAATATTTCCGCTTATTTCTTGCGCCTTTGACACTGTCCAAAGGAACACATTAATTGATATCGTTCGAGACATACTTCAATATAACAAATTGCACATGACGACAAGCTTCAAGTAAAGGTATAAATGAAATATTAACATTTTTAAAGAAAATGTGTACACCTCCCACTTCAAACACTACCAACAAAAGTTCCTTAAGGATTTTGAAAGAAAATTGTTAATCCTCAAACACAAATAATTATACCATTTGATATATAAAATACGCTGTTGATATTGTTTACATATCAATAACACAATAACACAGAGATGGGCAGCATTAAAAGCATGCCTACTGGAATACATTACAACCAGGATAGAGAACGTTTTTGATTGCAATATGAATACCAGAAGTTAGTTTCTCAAATATAGCGTAAGAGTTAAATGATGTATCAACTGTTTATACAAGTGAATTATTTCTAACAGAACAAATTGAAGCTACATTATATAGTGCCAAAACAGAATTACAGAAACAGAAACAACTGTTGAATGACAAAAGTAATGTTAAGGTCCA